TCACAATACAACCACTTAAAGATATTCTCTTCACTGAATTCATTGTTAGTTGTTATACATCTGAGGTCAACAGAGTAAACAGTAACCTTACACACAAAGACCATGTATTTCGAAGGTCTGTTTTGTTTGAATCAGGTTTCATCTTTTAACGCCCCTAACAATGTCTATAAAGTTCATACCCTTTGTCGGATGTAACGCCAGAAGTGTATATGCCTGACCTAGATAAAGCAAATATGTCTTTCGAAACTCTGAGACATTGGTGGTATATAAAATTCAAGAGGGTTCCGAATGTATTTCAATTTTAATTGTGAATAGGTATGCTTTCCAAAAGCATTGTCTGCAGCACAAAGCGAATTGAAGTTAATGTATGAAACACTTGTAATTTCACATTCACCAAATTTATATCAAGTAATCACAGTATATCTGCTTATGAATATGCATGAGACAGGTATAACTAACAAGAAAAGAAAAAAATGGGAATTTTCAGATTTTCATCATTTCTATGACAAAACATGTATAAACACTCAATCTATGACGATAAAACCCCGTGAAAATTATTTTTCAGACGTTATAACGATATCTGTGTTATACATATACATGTGTATACATGTATTTTCCTAATTCAATGACGAAAGTTTTATTCACGAGGTACCAACTCTGTCAAAGAAGACATGACTTCTCATAATATTTTATTTGGTGTGATGTAGCCTCACGCGCTTTCCATGGTGTACAACATTTATTTGAAACAAGCGATAAATAGTATCAACGTGAGAGGACAAATTATTCATTGATAGTTCCGGTACAGGACTGTTGTTTCTATAGTACCTTCGTGAGGGGACAAATTATTCATTGATAGTTCCGGTACAGGACTGTCGTTTCTATAGTACCTTCGTGAGGGGACAAATTATTCATTGATAGTTCCGGTACAGGACTGTTGTTTCTATATTACCTTCGTGAGGGGACAAATTATTCATTGATAGTTCCGGTACAGGACTGTTGTTTCTATAGTGCCTTCGTGAGGGGACAAATTATTCATTTATAGTTCCGGTACAGGACTGTCGTTTCTATAGTACCTTCGTGAGGGGACAAATTATTCATTGATAGTTCCGGTACAGGACTGTCGTTTCTATAGTACCTTCGTGAGGGGACAAATTATTCATTGATAGTTCCGGTACAGGACTGTTGTTTCTATAGTACCTTCGTGAGGGGACAAATTATTCATTGATAGTTCCGGTACAGGACTGTTGTTTCTATAGTACCTTCGTGAGGGAACCAAATATTCATTGACAGTTCCGGTACAGGACTGTCGTTTCTATAGTACCTTCGTGAGGGGACAAATTATTCATTGATAGTTCCGGTACAGGACTGTCGTTTCTATAGTACCTTCGTGAGGGGACAAATTATTCATTGATAGTTCCGGTACAGGACTGTTGTTTCTATAGTACCTTCGTGAGGGGACAAATTATTCATTGATAGTTCCGGTACAGGACTGTTGTTTCTATAGTACCTTCGTGAGGGGACAAATTATTCATTGATAGTTCCGGTACAGGACTGTTGTTTCTATAGTACCTTCGTGAGGGAACCAAATATTCATTGACAGTTCCGGTACAGGACTGTCGTTTCTATAGTACCTTCGTGAGGGGACAAATTATTCATTGATGATTCCGGTACAGGACTGTCGTTTCTATAGTACCTTCGTGAGGGGACAAATTATTCATTGATAGTTCCGGTACAGGACTGTTGTTTCTATATTACCTTCGTGAGGGGACAAATTATTCATTGATAGTTCCGGTACAGGACTGTTGTTTCTATAGTACCTTCGTGAGGGGACAAATTATTCATTGATAGTTCCGGTACAGGACTGTCGTTTCTATAGTACCTTCGTGAGGGGACCAAATATTCATTGATAGTTCCGGTACAGGACTGTCGTTTCTATAGTACCTTCGTGAGGGGACAAATTATTCATTGATAGTTCCGGTACAGGACTGTCGTTTCTATAGTACCTTCGTGAGGGGACAAATTATTCATTGATAGTTCCGGTACAGGACTGTCGTTTCTATAGTACCTTCGTGAGGGGACAAATTATTCATTGATAGTTCCGGTACAGGACTGTTGTTTCTATAGTACCTTCGTGAGGGGACAAATTATTCATTGATAGTTCCGGTACAGGACTCGTTTTATAGGTAAGTATAATAATGTTTTATCTTGTATTCTATTTACGATTTTCTGATAAAGTACGGTGTTCCATGTTGATTACTATTTCACATGTATTCAAAAAAGTTTCAGCTGAAGACGATTTTATCTAATTATTAAATGATAAATTTTACCATTAAGACCCAGATTGTGTATTGGAAATTCCTAGCAACACCACGAGAATTGGGAATTGAATTTAGTTACGTTTTATATATTGTTTGTATCGTTTGTGAGGAAAACCAACTCCAGAAATCGAGAACGTGGATTATGATATCATGTTAAAGGGGTGATATCGACAAATTATCTTTAGCACGAGGGGACAATCGGTTATGACACGTCATAGCTTATTGTATAGTTCTACATATTGATAGTGTTAAATATCTTTACAAAAATTTTGAAAAAATAGGTTTTACATTTAAATAACCTAACTTTTCCACCAGTTTTACACATGGAAGCCAGTCTGTCGTGGAGTGGAGGGGAGTACCTCTATTCATATGCCCACCTTTGCCAGTGGATACCTCCGTTGTCAGGTGGACCATTTCCGTTTCTACAAGTATTTTTTTCTGTTCCCAATACAACACAGATGAACAGTTTCTCATGCCCTACTCGCTCTGTCCACGCAACACAGTATTCTATTTGGTTTGGTCATACTAAAGATTAAGATAACGCCTTTCTTTCATTCCAGCAGAAAGATAACAACAATACTCAATAAAGTGTTATACCATAAAACAAATCAGAGAAACAAATGTGTTTACCTGTTATAGGGACGTGAATTATCAAACAGGTAACACCATCTATATACGGACGAAAGTGATTAAATCCAGTACATTCCCAAAGTTTACTCATTCCTATAACTCACCACAGCAAAACCACTGCAATCCTCATAGGAACAAACCTTCCTGCATTATAAAAATGATGTACGTGTAATTGGCAGTTGTTGTATACTATATATGTATGTCTGAACAGCATGGCGTTCACGTAATAAAGACATGTCTCCGCCTTTACATTGTCGTGAATATTGGGTTTGACATGACAGGGAAAATCCCCGTGTCATTCCTATGGTTGGATATATATCATCATTTATAGAATATTTAATTTTTCGCACACAGAGAGGTTTACTCAGTAAAGTTAATGTCATACACTGTATAGTTTAACTTAATATATTGTCTAAATACCAATTAATATATGTTCTTCTTGGTGATGTGATCAACTTTCATTTATCCTCATTTGTTCTCTGAGATTTTAGAATGTATCAAATTGTTTTAATTCTAAGAATCCTACAGAATTCTCACATTGTGTAATTTAGCATTGGGTCATTTGTAAATCATTCAATTTTGAATTGCATTTCATATTTCTATGTAATCCGTATATTTGACCAATTATTTTTGGGATAATTTCAAATGACTTTAAATTGTATAATTAGCATAAAATGTTCTTGTGTGCATGAACAAACTTGTACATTTTTATGTTTATCATGTATCAAATTATATTATTACATGTGTTAACGTGCGTGTGTGTGTAAATGTGTGTGTGTGTTCCAACATTTTTTTAAATGTGTTCTAAAAATAATTATCATTATATGCCAAGACTTCTAAATCAGTAAACAAATATTAATGTACCGACGAGAGAGTTTATTGTCGTAACCAAGGACACATAATGAACAATTATCAATTAAGTCATTTGTTTTGGTTTATTTTGTTTTATTCAAATAAATAGTGTCGAAAAATGTGAACGGAAACCGAATAATGATGAAAATAGTTTATCAGACGTCAGTAGTTTTCAAAATTTTTGCTGTCTTATTTTGTATCATTTTTATTTCAAGGCTTTAAAACTGGTTTGTTACACTCCTGTGATATCCTAGGTGTTGTTTCGTGCTCTGACTACCGCGGGATATATTACGCGGAACATGACTCTGCATTTTGTCCTCGTCTGCATTAATGTGTATCCATTTCATCTTAATGAACTTAAATCATTGTCAACAGCTGGGTAGACTCCTATACAAAGGTTAAGTGTAAGATATATATACATACCTCGTATCTGCATATCTAAATATTCCTTTCAATCGGATAACAACATGAATTATGTTTACAATAAGGTAGACCATTACACTTGATCTCATTTGACTCACTGTGTGAATATTCCGCTTTATCATGACGCTAATTTTTCTATTCATCTTTTGTTAAAACATAAAAACAACACATAACAACATACTGTTTCCCAGATGCAACTAAGTTAAGAATATTGTGTATTAAAAATCAGAAATACATTACTAATTATAATACCTCTTACAAAAATAAATTTCTCAATTTCTTAAGCAGTTGTGAAAACATTTATTGATGATATAAATGGATTACATTATTCAAAACTCTTGATCAGTTTTAAATATTTTTATTTTCCTCTTCATGTAACAATCAGTTTTACATTTCATTCACTTTGCTAAAATATTTTACTTTCATTAAAAAATATCTTAAAGGTTTATTTTTATATACGAGTTGTCGCGTGTATGACGGCGCATTAATTCCGTCTAGTTTAAATTATAACACATGTAACCTCGTAATATAGGAAAGAGTTGGGATTGACCGGGTATCCTAGCATGTCTCATTTGACTCAGGCCTCCAAAGGACTATACTATGTCTTCAATGTTTTGGATATTTCTATTTCATCTTGATGTTCCGTGTGCATATTACGAATTCAAGCTACATAATTTACAATCCAACATCCCACGGGACAGCGTTGCACACAAAAGATAAGATAGTTATGGTGTTTTATCTAAAATGTACTACAATTTTTTCTTCTGTATATTTCAGGCAGTTCGCCGACATCGACAGGAGAAATAACGAACACAAAACCTCAGACAGCGAATGATTCCAGGCAGACTGGCTCTCTAAAGAGACATTTCTCTACCACATTCAACAGAATATTCAAGGCTAAATCTTCTTCTAGTAGCTCGATTGAAATGGCAGATGTACAGATTGATGTAGATACAGAAGATGATCTATGTACAGACGAGAGCTCCGAGTCTGACTATACCACAGACGAAGACGCCATGACGTCATGGAATAGTATGGAAGGACACACAAACCTTCAGTTCATGTTTGATAATCAGTGCCACCTAGACACTTTACAACCGGAAGTAGTTTTATCGTTTCCCAGCAACAGCAAGAAAAAGATCGGTAGCCTTAGTGACGCGAGCGATGTCTTGTATATCGGTGATGGGAGGAGCCTTGTTGTCGACATGATAAGTAATCAAGTGCTACATTTCAACAAACGTGGGGTGTCATCAGTTGCATATAGAACCGAGCACATGATTGAACCCTGGGCTGTAGCGGTCAACACAGAGGACGTGATTCACGTCACGTCAAGGAAAAGTAAATGTGTCACAAGAATCTTAAAAAATGGAGAAATCAAAACTCCAATTAAAAACATACGTTTTTCGAAACCATCTGGCGTCGCTATTGGTAAAAACGATAAACTTTTTGTGACCGATGTAACATCAAATGTGCTTACTGCTCACGAAGCTGACGGCACGTTTATTTCGACTATTGGCTGTAGTATGTCACCATTGCAAATTCTGGACAAACCTAGATACGTCACGGTCGCCCCTAACAACGATATCATTGTGTGCGATTCCGGAAATCATTCTCTCAAAGTGTTTGATTCGGAAGGTAATTTCGTACAAAAAATCGGGGAGCGCGGGAAAGGCGAGGGGCAACTTAAATGCCCGTATGGAGTATGCACAGACATTTTTGGAAACATTATTGTTGCGGACCATTACAATGACAGAGTTTCGTTTTTTTCAAAGAGCGGACAATTCATACGTCACCTTGTGACGTCAATTGATAAACTGGTACATCCGCAAGGTGTATGCATAACGTCTAACTTCAGATTGCTCGTTACACATGGTGGCCTCAAGGCGAACGAAGTTTTGGTGTATGACCTGAGGAATAATAAGTCGGACACCTCCTCATTGGATACAGTAGTGTTAGTTTGAACATACTGTATTCTTTACCTTGTATTGAGTTATATTTATTTATGGGAATTGTCAAGGTTCTACATGGATCACCATTGGAAAGATATGATCCCTAGAGGCTGGAAGGGTTGTGCGAAGGGGTGTAGTTAGCTCGAATTACCCCTTCTGTTTATTTATTTCAGATCAACTTATCATAGCTAATCCCCTTATTGGTGCTTTCTGTCATATATTTGTGTATTCCAAATGATAGGATAAAATGTGGTAGCTAATTGATTGACATGTTTTCTTGATGGATCCATTTACACTACAGAGTGATATATTAACATAACAACTCTACATTCTTGTCATATCTTGTACCTGTAAATTCATTTTATTTACAGGTGGATGTTTTAAGGGTCAAAACAATGCCTCGGATAGGTCAGTTATTGTAACCAATACACTGCACCTGAGCATGTTGACAGAAAATAAATGCAGTTCGTTCAGTTTCGATAACCCGTACTGAAACAAGAATGATGGCCCTCTTGTCGTTGCTTAGGAATGGTATATATGATAGGGTTTTAGTGACGTTTAGAACTGAAATTAACGTACATTGTAATAATCTACAAAGTGTATGTAGGTGTACTCGTCGAGACAGACGTATTCAACAACATACATCACACATTCAATTAATCTGGTCGGTTTATAACACAAAGCATATTGTTGATTTTGTATCTCAGACATTAACTGGAAATCATAATGAATTATTTCGAAAAGAATCAAACTATTTTGAACGTATAGGAGAACGATGTAATGACACATGTAAATATGATTGAATTTTAATGGACATATGCACGAATTTATGGAAACATCAATAATTTGCAATGAAAATACCTATATTCGAGCAGAATCCTGAATCGTGACAAGTCTGATGGGATACTTGTATACAATGATTTATTCGTATGAAGTGTGCTGCTTTGATGTTTTGATATTGTTATAAATAGATTTCTGTATAAGTAACGTATGATCCAATAGATCATAGTTCTCTATTATGGAATCTGCTATGTATTGAATTGTTTGGAGTTGTATATTACTGAGGAAGTCATGCGGGACGTCAACAAGGTGTCTACAATAAACTTCGAATGTGGAGTTGTATATTACTGAGGAAGTCATGCGGGACGTCAACAAGGTGTCTACAATAAACTTCGAATGTGGAGTTGTATATTACTGAGGAAGTCATGCGGGACATCAACAAGGTGTCTACAATAAACTTCGAATGTGGAGTTGTATATTACTGAGGAAGTCATGTAGGACGTCAACAAGGTGTCTACAATAAACTTTGAATGTGGAGTTTTATTAAGAAAACTGTACGGCGGCGTACTAGAATCATTATAGTAATCGGCACTTCCGGTATTTACAACTTGTTATACTGTAGAATCATAAATTTTCGTGGAGCTCAATTTTGTCTTAAAAAAAAAACTATTTCGTTGTAATTTAAAAGTACACAAGTTATCAACGAAAAATATCGAGAAAATGCAAATATGTCATCAAAGTCACTATACTCAATACAAATTCAGTAAAAATACGGCAAAATATGAACAAAAGAAATATTTAAGACTTCTGAAAAAATACAAGGAGAATATGACGAGGTGTTCTTGCAGAGTAAGCGTCTTCCGCTTTATCGAAGACACTAACTATATAAACCTTGGTCAACTTTGAAAAATAATCCCCCACAAAAATAAATGATTTTACGGTATAGTACGTACAGATAATCACGCTTTTGTATATTATACGTACATCATGCACTTAACAGATATATCCTGTACATGTACGGTCTACTGTTTATCTCGTCAATATAGAAAGCATATCACATTATTATAGTACAATTAACAACTCTCACTGATGGAAATCGTTAATGATATATCTTCTTCAAACTTTCTCTACGATGATCATCACTTTTACATAGTGTATATGTAATGAATGGTTTTCGCTGTTTACTAAGGTGCATTTCCATGTCTGCTTTGTAATAAATAACCTTAAGTGGGAAATACGAGTTGTTTGTTTATCACTCTCCAAACAAATAAGGAAACGGATTTTCGAAAATGAATCATTAAAGCTCACTTTGATAAAAACAAGATTTTATCTAGACACTTTTCTTGTTCTTCCGATATATTAGAAATATCAAGTTTTTCTTTAAATATAAGCAATTTTACGTCATATCGATTTCTGTGCCTTGTTGAAGGCTACACACCTCTCCGAATTGCCTTAAACGATTGATTTTACGGTGATTTCAGCTTAATTTAGATCCTATTATTTGTTATCATTCTAAGTTCCTAAAAGTTAAACACATAGTGTAAACTTAAAATTGCTAGGACACGTACTTCGGCTACCTACGTCTTTCTCTTCCTACACGTTCTCCCTGTCTTCAATCCCTCATCCCCTTCAAACACCAACGATCTTTGTGAACTTCATTCATGTGTATCCATTCTTTTTATCATTGATAATAATACCATTGATTGTACAGTCACCAATGAGCGCATGTTAGCTTTTCCAATCTGGTTGGCGAAGTACCGAAGTAAGAAATTCTTTGAAAGGATATGGAGTGGTACAGGAGAAAGGCAATCGCGTCAAGGGATGTGATGTGACATTAGAAAAGTAGTAGGCAATGAGTGTGAATTAGGTATAATACTTACGCCAACAGGACTGGGAAAATCTCATGTGCGCTCTAAGTAAACCTTATCAATGCAAGCTCTATGTAAAATTATGTAATCCTCCCCTATGTTCATCCTTTCCACTATGATCCCTACCTCTTTATTTAAAACGTGTATGTATATATACATAAGTATCTACCTTACGAATGACTATCACGTGACAAAATTGTATTTGTATATATCTATTTGTCATGGAAAGGACGTGTAACTTTTGTCCAATCCTATTGTCTTTTATTACAATAAAATTGATTTAAACTTAACGCACCTACTCAATATCTACCATGTACATAATTTTCGTGACGGCTTTCCAAAGTTTGTGTAACATCGGCTAGTGGAACCAAATTTTATTCGCGAGCTCAGCGAGTGCTTCTTGGTATTGTGTGTTGTAATTATAAACCAACAAGCTTCAGCTGTCGATCACTTTCAATATTTTAGGAGATGCGATAGATTTGACAATCAGGTTATAACGCATATAAAACAATGTCTGTACTTAACTTACACAAGTTAATAATTATTAATTAATTAACATCCTTGTTCATAATAAAGAGGAAAACGCTTACGAATAAATTAGGGAACGAACGGGGAAAAAAAGAGAATAACGCATCCTATAGATGTTCATTGTTATATATATTTTACATACAATATGCCATGATAAGATACGACATAATTCATAAAGTTATAATTTTCGTGACATCAGTTACCAATCTCTGATATGATCTTTGTGCATAAGCGTTTATTATTTCTGATACCACATTCCCCTCCTCCCTCCTACATTATATATTCTTAAATACCTCCCCTCCTCAAATTCCCTTTCTAATTTTGTGGTCCACGTTTTGTATACTCGCCCCGTATGTAACATAAACCCCAATTCCGTTCAGGGAATCGAACCACGGTCAGCAAGGAGAAAGACGAGTGTGTTACCATTGCGACACCCGAACACCGCCTGATGATGAATGCAATGACGTCTAAAAGAAGAAGATGGCGATGGCACCACGGAGAAAGATCAAAGTCCGTGATAACACATTGGTATATTTGGATATGTCGGCGTGTGTCTTGTTAAAATCTTGCAAAAAATAAGCGAATTAAAAAAACACGCTTCGGTGAAGCAATAAATCATGCATTTCAAAATGTTGTTCAACCTGCACTCATTTTTAGGCGGTGCCGATTTCATGTTAATTTAATTTTGTCTTGATATCCACACCAAGTTTATGTTAACTAATACACCACTCAGCTAAGTATGTTGAAATCGTCGTGTTTTCCTCACATCAACGCTTTTGCTGAAAGCAACCGGCGACAAGACTACGACAATCATTGTGTTCTTATGTAAATTATGAAATAATGAGTTGTAAAATGTTTAACAAAGGCCTATATCACTAAAGTCACGGTTAATACCTCACTATAATTGCATCAACTTATTGTGCTGAAAATCTGACATTTTTTCTCACATCAAGGCGTTTGCAGAATTCAGCCGCCGACAAGACTACAACAGCCATTGTGTTCAGTAACATTAAGTTGAACGACAGGCCATATCTCCGTGGTTACTTGAACATTTTCTTCGTCATCCATGCAGTCTTCGAATATTTTTATATTTAAAACTCTTTTTTCATCACAATCAAATTAAATATATGTAATTGATATAGATCTAAAACAAGTCGGCAGATCAAAGAAAGTTTCCAAAATGGCGTTCAACGTTAACGGTAAATGCTAAATTTTCAAAAGAAATAAAAAATAATAATTAAAAATCAATAATAAATCAATCAAATTTGTGACCTTTGACCCAACATCGAGCTTTTTAATTTGATATATTTTGTATTAGCATGTTACGGGCAAAACTTATATAAAAAAAAGTACCAACAAAGATGCACACTCTGTACAATCAACGATAAAAAGCTCATTGTATTCAGAGTTAGTTATCCCATTTTATATCGTAATATCATCGTTTTCATTAAGTAAAGGCAAATGTTTTCAGTGAAGACAAATATCTGCACACTTTCACGAAGACATTCCTAGATATGTGATATGTTTGTGTTGTGTGATATACTTGTGTTGTGTGATATGCTTGTGTTGTGTGATATACTTGTGTTGTGTGATATGCTTGTGTTGTGTGATATGCTTGTGTTGTGTGATATACTTGTGTTGTGTGATATGCTTGTGTTGTGTGATATACTTGTGTTGTGTGATATGTTTGTGTTGTGCGATATGCTTGTGTTGTGTGATATACTTGTGTTGTGTGATATGCTTGTGTTGTGTGATATGCTTGTGTTGTGTGATATGTTTGTGTTGTGCGATATGCTTGTGTTGTGTGATATACTTGTGTTGTGTGATATGCTTGTG